TTGTAAATGCAATTAATTGTGAGTATTTGTGGTTTTCACAATTAAAAACAACATTTTTTTCTACTCAGATTTGAAGATTTTAGGTCTGTGCTGTGCTCTACATAATGATACCAAACATGACAAATGAAACCATTTTTAAGGTGAAATATGAAGGCAAAATGAAAAATACTCTACTGGATTCCAGAGGGTTAAAATCTAGAAAAAAATATTTAAACTGTATGGAGCTAGTTTGTGGATGGTTACTCACATGTTTCTGTCTGTCAGGTCCTCAAAGTTATATCCTCGGATACGTTGATGGGTATCAGATGCGAGGACGGTCCGGCTGTCATTCAGACACCACAGGCACTGGACCCGGACCCCTTCCCAGGAGTCCAACAGGTTCCCATCTAAATCCTGAATCAGAACAAAATAACACACGCAAGACTATCATCACCAGGTTTCTCTAGCTATAACCCTGAGCTCCTCAAACCACCTTCTGACTGCTCCTGTCTGAATTTAAAATTAAAGTAGAGCTTTAATAATTCAGTCAAATCTATGAAATCAGTTGTGGTTATTAGTTTCTGCCATTTWAAATGTTTATGGATCCAAGCTGAAAGGCTTTGTGCATCAGTCTTTACAATCAGAGATCAGAAATGAGTTTAGTTTATAATAAAATAAACAGCTGGTATTAAGACAGCTGTTTGCAGGAATAATAATCTAAACTCTGAACAGAACAGTAACTTCTAAACAGAAGGAGCAGCCTCCTCTACTGAAGGGATGTTTAATGTGAYGTAATGACAAAGCTCCCAGGTGGCTCTGAGGCTGCAGAAAACAGAACAGGTTCTTAACCTGAACAGAACCTGTTCTACCACCTCTTCAGTGAGAAAACCACAGAAGATGACAAAATACAGACATAGTGATGTATCAACTGCAGGAGGAGGAATCTAAAGAAAGCTTGAGCTGCTGCCAGTCGCTCATTAGAGTCACCATGTTTACACCAGGTAACCACACACCTGTGTTTGCCACTGCACTCTGAATAAGACAGGCAGACAGAAACACAGACTAGAGAGTGAGCCTCAGACAGACAGACAGACAGACACAATAAAATGAGCATCTGGATGTCACACGTAGTGATTTTATGTTTCTAAAAACGTAAACTTATTTTAAGTTAAAGTTTTGTATTAGGTCATTTTTCTGTCAAAATTAAAGTTTTTGATTTTTTTTTTAGTTTGGAACAAAATGTAGCCTGGTAAAAACCAGACCCTTGCCCTTCACTTTGCTTCGTACGAGGGTCTGGACTCGCTGCTATAAAGAAGCGATTCCTGCTGGAGGCGTGGCCTCTGCTGAAGTGTGTGTGTGTATGTGAAGGAGGCTAAGCTAAGAAGCTAGCTGGAAATCGCGTGCGCTGTAAACAACCCTACTGAGAGGAGGAAAGTACAGAGCCCAACGAGACGACTGTAAATGAGAGCTGCTGCTTTGTCAGATAATTTTAATTTAATTTGGAAGCCTTATCAACACGGACTGGCTTCATTCACTTCCTCCACTGCCGTATGCTAAAATAACTAGCAGACACTGCGCAGAACATCGACGTCATTCAAAACTCCGCTTTCTGTTTGCTGATTGGCCCAGGTAAAATAAACTACAAGTAGACACTGCAAGCAGAAAATCTACGTTCTGTTCTCTGATTGGTTCGGCTAAAAATCTGCCAGTGAAATCCTTGTCAATGGGAGAAGTCCCAGACGGAGCAGAGAAGGGAAACTAGAATTGAGCGGAGCTGCATAGGAAGGCAAGGGCCAGGCTAAACAAAATGAAGAATAGATTTAAAATAAACAGAATTAATTTGTTACTTTGTGAGCGTGTGTTTGACTTGTACTGTAATACTCAGATCCTGTGAATCAGTGTGTGTGTGTGTGTGTGTGTGTTACTGATATAAAAAGCACTCACACACTGGTAGAACTGGCCTCTCTGGCCTCCGGTAACGAACCGTTTACCGTCAGGGTTCCAGGCCACACTCGTCAGGCTGTCTTCGTGAGACTGACTCATCTTTGTTCGTAACTCTCCCGTCTGTTCAGGAGAAACCTGTTAAACATCTACAACATCCTGAGCCTCAGCTCACAATCACAAACTGAGTCACTGTTTATTTATAACATGGAGGTTCAGCATGACACAGAAATGGAACATGAAGAAGGTAAAACAACGAACAGAGTTTGAATAAAGAGTGAACATTTGTCAGTTCACTCTGTGTGGTTTAGAAAAACTAACAACTCTTTGTACAACAGCTGATACTCTTCCACTAGTTTGACTCTGAGTAAAGGAAGAAAGTCACGCTGAGATGTTGTACCTGAATGTTCCACAGCCACAGCTCGGAGCAGTCATCAGGACCACAGGCTATTAAATAAGCATCATCAGGACTCCAAGCCAGGTAGGAAACCCCGTAGGCGTGGCCCTCCAGAGTCTTCAACAGCTTCAGGTGTTGTGTTTCCTGTCAGCCAGTGGAAACAAAAAGTGTTTAACTTTCACTGGCCGGTTTTATCCAACTCTAGAGTCTAAATCAGGGGTGTCAAACTCCAGTCCTCGAGGGCCGCTATCCTGCATGTTTTAGAGGTTTTCCAGCTCCAACACACCTAATTCAGTGATTGAATTAACTCTTCAAATTGGGCAGAAGCCTGTTAATCACCCAGCGATCAAAATCAGGTGTGTTGGAGCAAGAAAACCTCTAAAACATGCAGGATAGCGGCCCTCGAGGACTGGAGTTTGACACCCCTGGTCTAAATGTTTGATAAATTAAAGATTGGTACCATGTCAACTTGCCACACAATAACTGTAGTGTCTTTGGACCCCGTGGCCAGTTTGGTGCCGTCATTGGAGAACTTGCAGAACCAGACTTCATTGCAGTGTTCTGTGAGGATCTGCTGAGTGTAGCACGGAAACTGTTTCCTGCAAACACACAAACACGTGTGTCCGTAGATCAAAGTGTGRACCGTCCTGACAACAAACAGCCAGGTGAGTTGTGTTTACCCTGATATGTGTTTTCATTTGACATACGACAACACACACAGATCCAATCCTTCATCACAACATGGCTGTGAAACAGGCCTGTGCATCGCAGTCCAGATAAACCTAATTAAAAAAAACTCAAGGTCTAAACGAAACCCCCAGCTTTTTGAAGCTCAGAGGAGGTTTGCTGGGTCCGGATGGATCGGAGCTGTGGTACCGTGTGACGGGGTTCTTACCGGCTGCAGGTGTGGTCCAGCAGCAAAGACACAGAGTCCAGTCCACAGTCCAGCTTGGTGTTGTGGTACAGGCAGCGCTCTCTTTGCAGCTCCACGGCCTGCTTCAGGAGAGTCTGCAGGCGGTGAGGAGGGAGCATCACCGATGGAGGCAGGTACGCTGCAGACAGGTTCAAATAGTTTAGAGCTTACCAAAATAAAACACCTGACATCAACCACAGGCTGCAGGGTGGGCTCTCTTCAGAAATACTAACCTCATTCTTATTTTATACATTTTCAACCTCTCCTGACAGAGCATCACCGTACATTAAAGGAAAGGGTTACAGGTGTTTATAGTATTTACATATTTGTAACAAAAACTAGGGAAATTGCATTTCCTGCGAACATGTTAGAGTGACTTCTTCGTGCGGAAAACCTTAGCTGAAAGTTAAAGTTTAATGCAAGTTCTTTTGAAAGGTGAAAGAAGCATGAAAAGCTCAAATTAGCAAAAAGAAGCACAAAATTGCAGAAACTAGCAGAATGGCTAAAGTAGCAGAAAATGCTAAAATTAGCATAATAAAAAACAAAAAGTAGCACACAAGTTAAAATTAGCTTGTGAAAGTGAAAGAGAAAGRAAATGAAAGTACAAAAAAGCGGCAATTTGTTGTAAAATTACTCAAAATGTGCATTAAACAGCTAAAATGTAGCTGAAAATGCAGAATTTAGCGTAAAGAAGCAGAAGGAGCGCATGTTTTTATGGATTTGGTTAGCTGGTCTCTTAATAAATTTTTGGAACAAAGTTTTCTTCCATACGACGACATGTCAAAGGTGGGACCTCTGTTCTGAATGTCCTGATGCATGTCAGTAATCCAGGTAGAAAAAAAATCAAAAAGAAAAAATAAGTAGGTCCTCTGGATGGGTTCTTCTTTAGTGAAACGTTTCGTCTCTCCTCCAAGAGACTTCTTCAGTCTGAGGAGTTTCAGGTGAACTCAGCCTTATAAGCACTGCCTCCACATGGACAAACAGGTTAGTCACATGCAAATGAGGGCCATCACCTAACAATAGGCTTGATTAGCTCTATTGTTCATAGAGGGTCATGTGCCCCATCACCTGACCCRTGTCATGTTATGTGTATGTAGTGAGTGCAGGCGGGGCTCGACGTCCCCTTGTACTGTTTTTTTTTTTCTTTTAGGAGGCTGGATTCTTCGGACTCATTCCCTCTAAACTCACTTACTCCTCTGGCTAATAAATGTGCTCTTTGCTTGTAGAGGTTTATTCATAAACACCATAGTGTATCATTTTGATATAATATGATGTTTTGTTTTGTTTTCTTCCTCATCTAACCTTCTGTGATTTTTTCGTTTTTCTTTTTAAAACGAGACCAATTATGGGTCCTAGAAATTTTTATGGTTTGTCTGTGGGCTATCCAGACCATGTTCATTCAATTTAATGCACAAAATAATTCTCAGATAATAAAATTTCCCATTTTCTAGTTCTGCCTGCTCTGACTTCCGTTCAGAAGAGCTGTTTATGTTAATGAGCTCTGTTGGTAACGCCCTCCAAAAATCTGTTGACATTAACTCCGCCCTCCAAAGCCAGCGTTTACGTTAGCATGGCTAATAATAGCAGAAGCTCCGTTGTACAACCATATGAGACCCTGAGTGAGACCCAGAGGCAGAGTCGTGGTCGCAGCTTCTTTTTTTTCTCCCCCTCCTCCTGTGTCGGAGTTCTGCGCTCACTCTGCATGCTGTTACCAGGGCAGGTAACTGGAGCAGCAGCGGTCAAAATACCTCAGAACCACAAACAAACAGGCTTAAGCTAAACAATAGAGGTACATGAGAAAACGAGTTCATAACGAACTAAAATAAATAATTAAATTGTGTCCGTGTCGGTCTCAAACCCTTGTCTCCTGCTCTCTGGTCCAACACTCTACCCATTGCCCTATTGGAGGCTTGTTGTGAAATGAGCTGTGCATTGCACAACAACGGTGATGGCTTTTTATACTGAGGTGGAGTATAAAGGAGGTGGAGCCTCCTCAGGAGGCTCCACCTCCTGAGGAGGTGGAGCCTCATCTGGGGGTTGCTAGGTGAGGGGCTGAACGCAGGTTCTGGTGGGTTGTCGTACGGCTTTTGACATCACAAAATGTAGGAAGTATAAAACTTATTGTTAATATACACTGCTCAAAAAAAATAAAGGGAACACTTAAACAACGCACGCTAAGTCCAAGTAARTCAATATTTTGTGAAGCACATTCAACTCTGTACAGAACAAAGTACTCAATGCGAATATTTCATTGATTAAGATCGGGAGTTAGCGTGCGTTGTTTAAGTGTTCCCTTTATTTTTTTGAGCAGTATATATTAAAAATACATTTACTTACAGTAAATATGCCCCTGGGTGTATTTTTTTGGTTCTAGGACTGTTTTTTTAAGAAGTACATACCCAAAGTTGAGTAAAAAACCCTTTAAAACGCGAATTTTGCATAAAGGTAGTGCGACCCCTGCTGGTTGCTGCATGACCTGATCACCTGTTTCCCCCATGTTTTTGTCGTGTGTTTGTCTTTTTGAATGGGTGTTCTTAAATGTGATTTCATTGTGCTCCRTACAATGATAATAAAGGCATCATCAATCAATCAATAAATCAATCAATCAATCAATCACTCAATCAGTGTTTGCAGAACATAGCAGAAAGTAGCTGACATGACCCCAAAATGTGAAAGTAGCTTAAAAACTAGCTAAYAACAGCTGAACAGTAGCTAAAACTGCAGCAAACAGCTAAATAAGCAGAAAGCAACTGAAAGAAAGATAAAAAGCTCAAATTAGCGATGTAGATGATCAGACATACAGGACATGTTGAATCCAAATAGAGTTAAAAACAACAAATCAACTAGATTGTGGACAATCTCTACGTGGAGGAAACTGAAAAGAGAGACCCGGACATGGAGACAGATAGAAGCCTCAACATTAAAGTCTACAGGAAACCTGCTCATACAGATCAGAACTGTCATCAAACATGTCCTCATGAAGACACATCCTGATGACCCTCATCTGTGAGCGGTCTTTAATCTGCAGGCGAGTTTAGGTCTGAGTTTAACTCAGGCTCAACTGCAGAGTAAAAGTCCTGTTGTTGTGCTTTTTATAAACTTTTAGTTTTTAGGTTTAAATAAAAGCTAGATGCTGTGAGACTGAACTCACTCTGCAGTTTGTCCAGCAGCTTAGTTCTGGATGCCGGGCCTTTTCCTTCCCACTCAGCTTTGGCTCTYAGGTCATCTGCGTGGCTGCACATCAGGTACCTTCACAGCACAGGACAACATGATCACCAGCTGACAAGCACTCACACCTGACTGCACAGAGAGCAGGATTCAGAAAAACTCTACTTTCTAATCCTGAACATGGRTAGTTCTCTAGTCCTAGTTCTCTCAGTAAACGTGGATCCTACAGTAAGTCCAGAGTGAGACTCAGCTTCCTTGTGTTGGTGAACTGACCCACTCAGAATGTGGATACGCTCTGTGTTATACTTGAGAGGCGTGAGCTCGGCTCTGAGAACCTGAAGAGCCTCCAGGACCTTCCCATCCTCCAGATACTCCAGGTACTTCTGCTGCAGCAGGAGGAACTTCATCCGCTGTCAAACACAGAGCATCACATCGTCAAAACATCTTCTGCTTGTGTCACAGAAAACATTCATGCTTACTTCCRTTATTTGGAAAAGCTCAGTGAAGTACATAAACACTGACTTCACAGGGGGTTGAAACAGTATTCACATCCATCTTAGCTGCCTTAAGGAAACACCACACTTTTACATCTCAGCTGAACTCTGCAGGTCAGAAGTAAAACCTTAAACCTGCATCAGTGCATCTTCATGTATTAAAACAGATAAACTGAGAACAATCGACACACTCTGACGGCTGCTGTCAGCTCAGATGATTGACACATCATAATAACAATTTGGACAAAAGATGCAAATCACAATGTAACAGTGTTTGAAAGGCAGTAGGATGAAACACATGCTTATCTAGTCCTATCCTTATTCTGTATTATTTAGTCTGATTTATTTATAATGCCTTACTAAACTTAACCTAATTACACTTTACACTCAACCCCAAACCCTTTCACATGTCTATAACCTGACAAAATATTGTTTTTGACTGACACAATACATCTGCTTCCTGTGATTTCATCAAACCTGTTCCACAGAGTCACAGCACAAAATGAAATCACACACTCTTTAAATCTGTGTGGGTGTGTGTTTAGTAAAGACAGATTTGTCTGAATGCTTTTAAAGCACATTGAGATCATTTTTYCTTCCGTACCTTTTTCAACATGTTTCTCTTTCTGAAAGTTTTGTGCTTTCTGTACAATTTATACATCAAAATGTTCAGCTCCTTCAGGTTTTCTGATATTCAGATTTTTCTACCACGTTTTATTTTTCATTAAAGCTGAATGGAGCTGTTGTCAACATCCTTGAAACTTTTCAAAATGTTCATGAATCTTGACTGTACTTTATATCTTTTGCTTTGCTTATTTCTACTTCTTTGTGCTAAGTTAAGCCTCCTTTGGCTATTTTGCTCCCTTTTGCTTTTTTTAGCCGTCATCTTGACCTTTTCTGTTATTCTTCTGCTAATTTAAACTTTTTGTGCTGCTTTCAGCTTTGTTTAGCTATTTTAATCTTTTGACGATTCTTTCAGCTGATTTTGCTCATTTCAGCAAATTTCTGTTTTAGCTATTTTTTAGCTAATTTGAGCTTTTTTCAGCTAAATTTCCCTTTTTGTAATAATTTCAATATCTAACTGCTTAATTCAGCAAATGTGCTTGTTTGATTTCTTCGAGCTAATTTCAGCTTGTTTCGGCTACTTTTTAAAGCAATTTTAGGCTATTTTCAGCAAAAAAAATCTTTCAGCATTAAGTATTCACACTGCATTTTCACAGGAAATTCAACTACAAATTTGAATTCKCATCTCTGTCCTTGAATATCTTCTGGACGTTAACAGGAAGTAAATAATTATATTTGAAAAGTGTTAAAACAATTCTAAACTGAACTAAATCTGTAAACTTCAGACACTTGGATTTGATAAATATGTTTATGTTCTCTGTACAAGTTAGGAAATATTCTAAGTGCCTTCTTTTGGAGTACAGATAATGACTGCAATGTTTTATGATCATTTACTTTATAAATATACTTTTTATAGATAATAAACTTTCCTCACCACGATCGCACTGGGAGAATGCATCAGTGCCTTCAGCTCATTCAGATCACTTTCAGCCTGCAGAAAGAAGGAAAAACTTCAATAATTAGTTTCACGTGATGTAACACAGGACTAAATGCTGACTCGTGTGTTTCTCACCTTGTCCCACTCTCCTTCAATCACATGATTACGAAACTTGGTGGCAGAGGGGTGTTCCAGTCTGCAGCCGGACTCCTGCATCAGAAGGTCCACCGTCTGACTGAAAAAACACAAACATCGTCTGATCACTGTCTGAGGGTCACTGAAACACGAGACTATTTCATGACCTTCAGGTTAAATARCATTATAATAACAACTTTAAACATTAGGCTCTAAGGAAGGTTTGTTCAGACAGTATTTAGACCTCATTCACTTTTTATTATATTATCTTACAGCGTTTTGACGCATCATTCCACACTCTGTGTCTTACAATAATCAAAACTTTGTACAAATACATACATTTATTTTGTTTAAACACACAACACAACACAGAGGAGTTTCATGCCACTATTATCTTTRAAGAAGAAGCAAAATCCATTTATCTTCTTCTAAAGGAAGACACACAGCTCAGACTGGATTTTTTGGTTGTTTGTTTTAGTTAAATTGACATTTTGTGAACTTTGATCCACAAAACTAGTCACAAAGAAAACCTGTTTGTGTCTTTGTTCAACAGAGAAAACTCCTCAAATGAAATAGAAAGAAAGAAATGAAATTTAAAAAATAGTCACTGGTTTGRAATTTTAATTTAACAGAAAAAAAAGAGGATGAAACTGGCCTGGACGAAAAACACTAACATCTCATGTTCCTGAACCTTTACGGTCCACAAGGTGAGCCCTGGAACCCTCTGCACCTGTCCACCTGTCTGTAGTGGTCCTGGTCCACATGTCCACAAGCATCCTGGACCACCTGACAGCGATGACCTTTGACCTTAGAGGTCCCCTCTAATGTCTTTGGAAGTTGTTCTGGACTTGGCTGAGCCCAGTTCAGTGAGGTACACCATGATTTAAATCTCTGATGAATCATCGTTCAAAAACAATGACTGAAATTTATTAATTAATGTTTTATTATATAATAATGTTTTTATTATTGTTGTTGTTGTTTAATTATTTCAGGATCTTTGTGTGTTTTTATTTTAGTAAACATGCCTAAACTGATCCAGCAGCCACAACTTAATGTAGAGTCTGAGGTTCAGACCCGGATCCTGAGCCTCCTGGACTCAGACACTTACTTCAGACCCAGATCGTGTAAATGTTGTCCTATCAGCCGGATCACGTCCTCCTCGGACTCTGACAGCCGGTTGTTCTTCTTCCTGCCTGAGGTTCCATCCTGGTCCAGGTCCTGGTCCTGGTCCTCGGTGCTGTTGTTGTCGGAGACAGAGTCGGAGTGACATAACACTCCGTTGTTGTTGTTGTTGCTGACAGCGGTTCCGTTGGTGCTGAGAAGTCCATTGGAGTGTGGGACTCCGGAGGAGGACGTCTCACCGTTCTGAGTACCGGTCAGGAGGGACAACTCGGACTCTCGGTCCTGTCCCGACCCATTAGCCTGCATGCTAACCGCTTAGAACCGAGACGACGATAATAAAAGGCGGTGAGACGCGCCGGGACACCGGGGACACGACTTAACACCGACAGGCCCACTGACCCAGATGCAGCCCCGAAATGCCCTGTTCCCCCAGCGSCTGGTTCCGGACCGATAACCCGGTGGTGAGGCTGGAGGACACGGAACCGCAGCTGGGATTTATTCCCACAGCTTCATGGTGTAAAGTGTCGGCTGTTAGCCTGTCAGCAGCTCGGTATCCTCGGTCAGATGTTGTTGCTGCGCTTGTTATTGTCGCTTCTAGACAGACGCAGCTCAGCCAAGCGCAGTGACGTCATGTCACCGGAAGTGTGCCTACGTCTTGTTTGGGAGCGGGGACTCCGGCAAGGAGCGCTGCATTCAGCACAATTCATAGACCTAAATATCACTGATCACTCTCTCTCTCTCTCTCTCTCTCTCTCTCTCTCTCTCTCTCTCTCTCTCTC